GGGCGAAATCATGACGTCACGATTTTCGTACTGAAGCTGCGCATGCGCTGTGAGGGGGAAACAGGGGAACTGAATTCACCGGAACACCGGTACCGAGGAAAACAAACGACATCAGCAGCTACTGTCAAATGAAAAGCACTGGAGCGCTCCTTCACTGCAGCTTTACGTTTACATCAGTCTATGGGTTACATGGGTACTGAAAAATATAATGATAAATTAATATAATGATAAAAAAATATAAATGATAAAGGGTAAATGGGCAAAACAAAAAACGTTAACATTACACCAGTCTTCATGGATCTCCAGTCTTTAAGGACCGTTTTACCACAAATAAAACCAAAAAACCATGGTTACTATAGTTAAACCATAGTAACCACACATTTACCATGGTTTTGCTACACTAACCATAGTTTAACCATGTATTTGTAGTACATCTGTGGTTATACAAATAGTAATCAATATGCCAAAAAAACATGGTTACGACACTTTTACTACAGTAAAACCATGACTAATTTAATCATACACCTTGAAATAAATAAAGAGTACTATTTAACATCCAATAATTAATAAACACAACGCACGCATATAACCCATTGTTATAACGCTGTAAGCACAAAATCATTCAAATAAAGAAGACCGGGGCAGGTTGTCACACGTTTGCAGTTTTGGCACATCGTAAAAATAAATAAATAAATAAACAAACAAACATATTTTATTGGGTTTTCATCAAAATTGAAACGATCATGTATGGGGGACGGTGGGGTTGCAGGAGTAGCCTATTTGCAGGATTAGATGTCTGTGATTAAAAAAATAAATAAAAACGAGCTCAACTCATTCAACTCATTTTGAGAATTCCCACGGGGAATTTATATTTTATATTACATATTTCGAAAGTGAATATATAATGCATTTTATCAGCACGAAAAACAAAACTTTTATTGGATGGATTATATATGGAAGGCGCGCAAATACCGCTTCATTTCTAAATATACAATCACTAAACAGCTGTTACTCACTTGAGTTCATCACGATCTCACAAAGTTCTGTTATAATCAATGAATCTCTTATCCACATCGTGTTTACACTTTGTTTCAACGAGAGTATTGAAATGACCAATCACAGGTGTTCAAGAAATAAGTAAATGTCATAACACTATCTTCACTGAAGAAAAAAACAGGCACGTGCAGAGGGGGGTGCGGTGGGTAGGCTACTTGAGCACCTGCCCCTTTTCCCCATGATGCCCAAAGTGCCCTTTTGTCAAGGCAATTCTATTATCTTTTTTTTTTGGATAATTAAACACCCTTTTGCGAAGGCCTGCCCAATCTAACTATTAGTAAAATGAATGAATTATAATTTAACGTAAATAAAATGATCCACATGATGACCTTTCACCTGACGACCCCTCACGTTCAGACACCTTTAATTAGTAATTTAGCAGTGGAGTTCTCTGCGGAGCGGTGTGCTTCTTTACTTATATTATTAAATTATTATTATTTTACAAGAACTACGTGAAGAGAGCATGCACAGCTGTTGTTTATTTTGATGTGTGTAGCTTGTAGAAGTAAAGTAAGCTGTAGCAAGGGGCTATGATATATTAGTTCAATATTTTCCTAATTACATTTTATGATTGGTTTATAAAGGCTACTACGAACACCTTTACCCATTTTTATCACAGAATAAGGCAGGGAATATATTTTATAGTTTCTATACTAAATTATATGTAAATCAATACCGCCCCAGCCAACATTTGTGTGTGGGGCCCATGTGGGTTTGACATGGGCTGAAAAAGTGGGCCCAAAATGAGGTTGTAAGTGGGTTTTTGTCCATGGGTTCCATGTTGGCCCCGTACAACTTACCCATGTGGGTTTTATGCTGGGACCATGCCCACTTCGTACCCATGTAGACCCAGCATAAACCATGTGGGGCCAACATATACATGTTGGCTGGGGCATTATTCATATTTATTTATTACCTGGAGATAACTTGAAAAACACATAAACCATATATTTTCGCAATTGTGTGTTTATTGTCTTCACGTTTCATCAATAAAAACGTTTCTGCTTTTTATTTAGCTCAGCTACAGCAATAGCCAGATGCTTTTGCCCATATTAGGGATTTCCTGTCTTAAGTTATTACGTCTATGAGTCTGTTTTGGACTTTCTGCGCGAGAGCGCCCTCTGGCTTCGAGTATGAATGAAACACACACTGCATGAGAGTGTTCAGCGCTCCTATTGTTTACATCGCCACATTTTGGATACGAATAAAACGTCAGGTCAGGCAAAGACTATTGATACTGTCTTTTTGAATTTAAATCTAGAAACCTCTAAGTGAACACACCTGCCCAACTAAAGTGCGGGGGACGAATTTACATTTTATTAAAATTAAATATTTATTAAATATTAAAAATGCAGCTAACGTTGTTCTATACAAAGCAATATAAACAAAGGTGACTGTTCTCTTTCGTTCTTGCTGTTTGATTGGGAAAAATTTAAAGGGCATCGAGGGGTCTTGTCTTTTTTATGTTATCTGACTAAAAACTATTCATACTTTGAACTATTATTATTACAGTATTTATTTAAAAAACGTAGAGTGCATTAAAATAATTATCACAACACTGGTAAAAACAGGCTTAAGCCCCATTCACACCAAGAACTATAACTATAAAGATAACTATAAAGATAACGATATTAGCGTCCACACCAGCGAACGATATCGTCTGTTTATTCTAAAGCGTCTGCCGCTTTAAATTCTTGAGCTCGTTACAGCAGGATGGATTCTGATTGGCTGTCAGTGTTTTATAGTTCATCAGCTGGAAAAAAATAGTTTTGAAAGTGATCACAACGATATCGTTCCTCTGTATCGTTATCGTTATAGTTGTGGTGTGAACTATGCTATTCTTTAATATTGAGAACGATTTTTAGAACTATATCTTTATCGTTATCTTTATAGTTATCGTGCTTGGTGTGAAATTCAGAACAGGATTAGAATAGAATTCTATTTTAAATAAGACATAAATATTTTTTTCTACAACAGCAACAGTAGTGTTTACAACAGCAAAACCACCATACCCTGTAAACTGAATAATAATAATAATAATATCAGTAATATAATTCAGTTTCTAATTCCAGAGTAATTAAGAGGTGCAAAGAAAAATTATTTCACTTTTAAACTTAAAATGATCTTTTCTGTTCTGTTTCTTTTTCAAAACTGCATCACGGCATTTGCTGCTGTATCAATACAGAAGCATCCGTTTCGATGTATCAGCAAGGAGCACAACCTTATTTAAAGCCATGTTCCATGTGCCCCTTTTATACGTTGAGCACTTGCCCCTCCAAAGGTCTCTGCATTGTTTTTACTAGAAACAATCAATTTATGCATTTCGTTTGTGATTTAGATATTTTTGAACTTATTTACCTCTAAAATTACTCAATTGAATTTCATGTAAAATATGTTTGTTTTTTTACTTTTTATTATTATTATTATTTTTTTTTTTTACTTAAGTCACATGTGTCAAACTCAGTTCCTGGAGGGCCGCAGCCCTGCAGAGTTTAGTTCCAACGCTGCTCTAACACACAAACCATGTAGTTTTCAAATAAGCCTGAAAGACGTGATTAGCTGGATCAGGTGCGTTTAATCAGGGTTGGAACTAAACTCTGCAGGGCTGTGGCCCTCCAGGAACTGAATTTGACACCCCTGATTTAAGTAAAAATATTCATTCCAGTAAGCTGAAGCAGCCAAAAATGGTGAAATCTAAACCAATGTAACAAATTAACAAATTGTAGATAAAAAAAAAACAAAACATTTGTGTTGGGTGAGACTACAAAGATGTTAAAATATGCTTACAGACAAATCTGACCATGCTATAAGGAAAAGACAAAGACGGAGACTAACAAAAAACAAAAAAACAAACAAACAAAAACAAAACATAAATTTCAATAACTCAAAAATTAAAATGGTACCAATGTGGTAAGAATAAACAATAAACCTAGCAAGTAGCATGTTCCAGACATTGTTTTGTTTGGAAGCATCTACAAATCTTGCAGTAGGACTTTGATCTGCCTTCAAGTGTGTGTTTTGCACAGTGGCTGATTGGCACATTTAAAAAAAAAAAAGCTCAGTTATTGGCTCATTCAATTCTTTGTTTGTGTATATGTGACTGTTTTTTTATTTGAAAAAATTGTAAAAATAATAATAATAATCTGTTATAGGCTCATTCAATGCTTTGTTTATGGATTAGTGTGTTTGTGTGTGTGTGTGAGAGAGAGTGTGAATGTGAGCCACATTGAGAATGTTGTATATGCTCACCCCTTCATTTATCTGTATGTATGATCTGCATTGTGTTGGATTTATTGATTTTTATTGGACAAATAAAAAATAAATTGCTCTGAATTGTAGTCTCACCAATTCATTTCATATGGCTGCCCACTTTTGTTCTCGAAAGGACCAATTATTGAGTTTTTTTTAAAAACACTTAACATTGTTGAATCAAGTCCAACTTTTGTGTGTGTGTGTGTGTTTAGGTGGCAAACTTAGGAAGAGTAACCAAGTCTTTTGCCGCTCAGATTAAGGAAACCATTTTTATTAAAAAACAAAAAAACAAGATGATTTTGCCCAAATTTGTCCCCAAGGCCTATTTAGGGTTAAACTGAGGGTGCTTTTGGTTTCGCTTGAGGGTGCATTTCACTGTGTGAGAAAATTAACCTGCGGCATCTGTGCGTGAGAGTGTAAGAAGAGTGCAGTGCAGGGGTCACCAAACTCGGTCCTGGAGGGCCGGTGTCCTGCAGAGTTTTGCTCCAACTTGCCTCAACACACCTGCCTGGAAGTTTCTAGTATGCCTAGTAAGACCTTGA